AGATGTCTTTTTTCCCCAAGAGCAATTAATTCAATCAAGTCCACGATTCCAAGCTCAAGTTACAAGTTTTATATGCTTAAAGCAAACCAGTAAAGGCAATCAATGCTTAAGTGGTATATTTTAGTATACATCATACTTCTGACAATCTCTCATCGCATTCAATTTTTAGAACTTGTCTCGGAGTCTAATGAAACAAAAGAATTACAGAAGAAAGCCCACTCCACTTTGAGGAACATAATGTAATTGTTCTGTCTGGGTACAAAGGTACTGTCACAACACTGGGAGTCTTCAGTCAACTTCCCGTACTCACCAAAAGCATACTTCCTTCATCTACAACTGTAATTGGAACACACAGATTTTACATGAAGAAAATCCTGTACTTCCAGTTTTAAAAAGCTGACAATTCTATGAAGAAGTAACCATTTAAATATCTAACTATACACATTTAAGTTTTCAGAACTTCATGCCTTATGAGGAATTTTGATTTCAGAAGTATCATTTCAGAGACTCAGCATCATATATTACATGTTTCATACAGTATAGTATTAGAAACTGTAAATGGCACAGAATAATCATAATTATCACAAAATTTTAACAATTTCCAGTGATCTTAAAAAGACAAATTATAACTCTCTTTGCTCAGCTAAGATATCCAGTTATGGTTATAACTTTTGAAAATGCTAAAGTTATGTGAAAAAAATTAGTCAAAGAAAATCTGTAAATCTGATACTTTCAATCTTGTAAATATGCATAGCCAAAGAGAAAATAAAGGGGTTTACCTGGCACATGAAGAATTAAGTCACTGAGCTTTACAGCCCTGAGCCACTTTGGCAGCTATTTTAGGTTTCACGTAATTTTCACAGTCTGAGTACCACCATTTTCATTTTGATAAAAGAAATGACCTTTTGAAATCATGGACATAAAAAATGGTGCTTATGGACAAGAATCACCACTAGAAGCTAGACACAAAATGGAGCATAGCAAGCAGTTTCTCTCAAAGTGTAAGGAACGTCGTAGAATATACAAGAGAGAAGCTCACATTTCTTTAGTTATTCTGTTTTACGAAACAATTTGAAGTAAGCATTATATTCATGTTTAAAAACAAAGCAGGGAAAATTAAAAAAATGAAACAAGAAAAATGCAGCATGGAACATTTTAGGAGTCACAGAAGGTTCTCTTCTTCCTTTTGGGCATATTGTCTCACCTGTTTTCACTTTGTTACAAAAAGAAACAAAACCAAATCTCTGCTCAGAGTAGTCATAGCACAGGAGGATTTGCATGTTGTTCTAATTTCCCAACCATCTAGACCCTGAAATCTAAATAAATATTTCAGTGAAAGCTTTTTTTTTTTTCATTTGCATGAAGTCTGAGCCACTATATACCCTACCCCGAATGGGGGAAGATGGGACAGCTATATCTTATACCGAAGCGGTGGCAGCTATAACCTGGCAGCTGCTGCCAGATTCTCCAGTGTGTCCTGCTTATTATTTTTTAATATGAGAAAGACAAAAGCTACAGCTGGAAACTCACACACCTTAGAAATATGTTGAAAAATGTTATTATAGTCCTTGGGATTTCCAAGTAAAGGCTCTCAAATCAAGTATTACAAAGCTGCTAATTAGCAACTGAAAACTAGCTGTTCAAATTATACCAGAAATATTTGCTGAATTGTTTTTATGAAAGCTTCCTCTTGGAGTCTGAAGCTTTCATCAGAGTATCCGAATCCATACACCAGCTAATTTCAAGAAAGAATTCTGTTGACTAAAACCCTAAAACCAGTTCCAACTCTTTTCTTTTTCCCAAATAGTCCAACGTTTCAAGAGAAACGTTTTGAAGAGAAATATATGAGGCAGGGTGTTTTATATGGCACTGTAACCTTTAGGAAACCTAACATTTGAGTGAACTGGGAAACTTTTCACAACATACTTAAACTCTATGTATTTGTAGATACTATCACTCTGCTGTATAATATATATTGTGGGGAAAAAAAGAAGAAGAAAAAAAAGACCAGCCTGGGCAACATGGGGAAACCCATCTTTACAAAGAACACAAAAATTAGCTGGGTATGGTGGTGCCTGCCTGTTTCCAGCTACATGGGAAGCTGAGGTGGGAGGATTGCTTGGGCCTGGGAGGTCAAGGCTGCAGTGAGTCGAGACCTTGCAGTGAGATCCTGTCTCTAAAAAAAAAAAAAAAAAAACAAAAAGTGTTTTATCAAAGGATAAAACTTATATGCTATAGTGTATAGTGTGACCATAATTTGAAAGGGAATTAGCATAATTCAAAAGGATAGCTAGCATACTATATGTTTCAATCATTCCAGTATTTTTGTTATTTGGGTTTAATTTCTTTTCCTCTTTTGGTTTTGTATTTCTAAGAGGGCACCTTTTATTTTCAAGTTGTGTTTAAAACTATAAAGAGTATGCGAATACAACTTAATATAAATATAAATAATATATAAGCTTTCTCTCTATATATATGTACATATAAACAGACCCAAGCATTAGACCACTGATGTTGTACTTTCAGGATTCACACGAATAAGTCTAGATGCATTCCTCAGATCTTGGAGTTGCTTAGCAGGTTTCCCCACACCTTCTTCAAACCTTTTCTCCACGACAGGGAGGACTGTTTCATATAAAAAGGATGCATTCTGCCTGATAAAAGCTTTCTTCTCCGGATCCTGCTCACATCGAAGACTATAATCCACATGCTGAACAGCAACCAGAATGATTTCCACCAGGCTCTCCAAAAGTACCATGTGCAGCTCTGGGAAATACAGCTTCAGGGCCTCTTCCAAAAAGCCCATGGTCTGTTTGGTGAAAGCAACCACTGTGTAACTTAAGTTCACCCAGCAGTCATCCCCCGTGTACTGCTCAAAGTTACTTACCCCGCAACTTTTCATCTCTTCTTTGAGCTTACCCAGGGCTTCTGGCGTCATCAAGTTCATCTTCCTCCACATCTCTTCAGAGTTGCGATGTTTAGTGGCTTCAATGATGATTTCTTTGTAACTGTGCAAGGCCCCTTGGATGTCTTTCACCAGAAGGGCGTGGATGATGAAGGTGAGGTCTAGTCCGATATCACCCAGTTGCTGGCAATGCTCCTTAGCCACTTTTACACACTCAGCTGCTGTAGAGAGGCTCTCCTTACTATCAAACACCTGCTTGCTAAAAGCATCCACAAACATGCCCATGGCTGATCTTGCCCAGACCACAAACGCAGAATAGCAGCCACTGTCAGTTCCTGCAAAATCAATCTCAAATTCTTTTGCAGTCTCAAGAAGGCTAGTAAAGAAGACATGGCACAGCTTTTGAATATAGAGTAAAGTGGCACCTTCAATGCGAAGCTGACGAATTGCAGTATGAACAGCGACTGCCCTGTTTCTCAAAAATAGCTCACAGGCCTTCGTGCACTGGCCCAGCCGGATCAGTTGAGAAACTGCTCTGCGGGTAGCCTTGGGACCACCTCTCAGCGAACGATCTGGGGAGAGTTCGAAAACTAGCACCTCAGTGAGCTGTCGAACTCTCTCATCCACTTTGGCCCTTAGTTCTTTTACAGGAGGTGGGCTAGGCTTATCTTCCAGGTAATGGTTCAATTTATCCAGGAGGTCGACGGCCCCTTCAAAGTCCCTCTGGGCAATACAGACATCCAGGTCTTCAGGTAACTCCTGGATCCATTCCATGGAGAGGTCCACCTTCTCTTCCTCTACCTCAGGAACAGCTGGTTCTTCTTCTTCATCATCCTCAAATGGGTTAGTGGCCTTGGAAGTCACTTGGGGTGGCCCTCGAGGGGCTGCTGCCTCCTCCTGCTCCCTTCGCCTTTTCTCACTTAGGGCTCTCTTGGTCTCCTCCAGTACTTCCAGCCACTCTCGTTTGATTTTAGCATTTTCGGCCTGGAAAATACGGCTCTCAGGGAACATAAGCAGCTTGAACATGTCCTTCATGGGTGGGTTGTCCTTGACATTGACTACGGCCAAACCATCTAGGGAATAGAGCGCGTTGTAGCGATACATCCCCCGCCGCTGCGGCAGCCAGGTAGCCACCAACAAACAATCGTTCATGAGAAAGCCGTGCACTCGCTGCAGTTGGGCCATGTGGTCCGCATCGTATTCCACTAGGTCCCCGTTGTACACCAGGTACTGTCCCGGCGTCTCCAGCAGGTGCCTGCAGCCTTCCACCTTCTCAAGCAGGGTGGTGAGAGTGCGCTGCTTTCCTTCCTCGCCTGGACCGGAGCCGTCGCGGGAGGCACCCCCGGGGGAGGGGAAAAAGCCAGCCTGGCCTCGGAGGTGGTCTCGGGCCCCCGCCCCACCGACTCCCTCCTCCCCCCCAGAGGCGGCGGCGGTTCCGGCGGCCGCGGCTGCAGGCAGCAATGTAAGCGGGATGCTCTCCAGGCTGCTCTTCTGCTCGGTCAGCAGGTGGCTGAGCTGGTACATCTCGCTCTCCAGGTAGGAGATCTCGCGGGCGGTCTCTATGAACTGCCGGTAGTTCTGGTAGACGTTGCGCTTCAAATTCTGCGCGGTCTCCTCCGCCAGCGCCTGGATGCGCTGCCGGTGCTCCTGGAGATCCCGGTCCCCATCCGACTGCTGCGAGAGCTGCTTCACGTACAGCCGCGCCTCAAAACCACCCGACTCCAGCTGCCGACGCAGGCGGCTCGCCCCACTGTCTGACATCGTCATCGCCATTTCCGTCCGGGTCTCAGGCACTTACTGTCACTATCGGCGCCGCAGCCGCGGCAGCTGTCCAGACCCACCCAAGACCAGCGGAGCTCTAGGGCTGAGGAAGCAGGATGGGAACGAGACGAGTACGCCTGCGCCGGGTTTGAGCGTCAGACACTGCGCCTGCGCAAGGTGCCGAGCGCAGACTGCGGCTGCGTAGGACTGCCGTCGGTTAAAGCGCATGCGCAAGAAGAGCTATTGCGGAAGTGAGGGGAGAGGCCGAGCGAAACTTGGGTACTGCGCATGACCCGAGCGTGACGTTGAGGCTTGAAATAACTGGCAAAGTAAGGCTGGAACTAGCTTCCTGAAAGCTTCCTAGGGCCCGAGCCTTGGGAGCCCAGAGTCTGCGCCTACTAGGAGGTGTCACGCTGACTGCTCTTTTTAAAGACCTAGAATCTTGGCTTCGGCGTTTGGGGTAAGCTCCGTTTTGGTTCACGTTCTCGTTCTCAAGAGGGTTTCCGCGGACTCTCGCGAGATTGGCCGTCCGGAGAGCCGGTGTCTCCTAGGAGCTTAGTCCTGGTCCTCTGCGAGGCGGCGTGGGGTCGCGGCCTGATTCGGGAGTCAGCCTGACGCCGGCGGACCCCGCCTGGGATCTTGGCAGCGATGGATGATGACCTGATGTTGGCACTGCGGCTTCAGGAGGAGTGGAACTTGCAGGTCATGGAGCGCAATCAGGCCCAGGAGCCCCTGTCGCTGGTGGACGCGTCGTGGGAATTGGTGGACCCCACGCCGGACTTGCAGGCCCTGTTTGTTCAGTTTAACGACCAGTTCTTCTGGGGCCAACTGGAGGCGGTCGAGGTGAAGTGGAGCGTGCGAATGACCCTGTGAGTTCCCAGCCCTCTGGGGAAAGAGGCGGGATTAGCAGCTCCTCTGCAGCCCTCGGCCCTGGGCTTCTCTCCTTTCTCTGTCCGACCGTCCCAGAGGGGGGTTATATGAAGGGGTCTGGTTTTGGACCTGGCAGTTCCTGTCTTGGCGTGTTTCTCCCACTCGAACAATAAGAAAGCTATGTAGACCATACCGCCACGGTTGGACTCGGACATAATGAGAAATGAGATTGTTATTTGAATCTCACTAAACTTGAAAATGACAAGTTTCTGATTTGCCTTGTGATTGTGCTCTAGGAGCCAGAAAAGAGAAGCAACCAAATCTGCCCCTAAGAAAGTGCTGAGGATGCAGAGTAACCTCCAGAGGATGTGTGCTGTCCTCTTCTATTCTCGTTAGGAACCCACTTTAGTGAACTCGTGTGCTGCAGTGGGGATCTTCAGTGATGCTTTTAAAAGGGTTCTTTTTCTACACGCTAAATTTGAACAAATCCCTATTTGAAATAATAATCTACTCCTGCACGTGAACAGGGTTAAATTTAAGATACGGTTGTATACCAGCATGCTTGTTTTTGAGTTGATAGAAAACCTACAGTGAAACAAATTAAGATACGACATTAAATTGTGTGTAAAGTACAAATCTCCTTTGTATAGGCGTCTGTTATAATTTTGGAGATGTGCTACTGGAGATCTACTTGTTAACACCAAATTTGTCGGAAGGAGACTGGGAGTAGCAGAATGGGATTGTCTTTGAGCTGTTGCAGCCCAGCTAGGGCAAGGGAAGCTGCAGTTGGGCCATGTGGTCCGCATAGTATTCCACTGGGTCCCCATTGTACACCAGATACTGTTCTGGTGTCTCCAGCAGGTGCCTGCAGCCTTCCACCTTCTCAAGCAGGGTGGTGAGAATGTGCTACTGAGGGTTGTAACTAATTGGGTGAAATGCGAGTATCTGCTTTGCAGTATCAAGGGGGTATGCTTTCAAGAAAGGCATCTGCCAGTTGAGTTTTCTTAGTGTGAACTGCCCAAGAATGTGTTAAGGACTTGCGTATATTTGGTCAATGTAACACATTTTTATGGTGGTTGTTTTCTAGGTGTGCTGGGATATGCAGCTATGAAGGGAAGGGTGGAATGTGTTCCATCCGCCTGAGCGAACCCCTTTTAAAGTTGAGACCAAGAAAGGATCTTGTAGAGGTATTCTTCATGTACACTTGCTTCCTAGCTCAGTAATTTACAAATGCTTCTCACTGATTTAGAGTGCCGTGAATTAGCCTATATGTGTTTTAAAAAAAAAAAAAAAAAAATGCTTTGCCCTCAGTGCAAACTTGAATTATGGGGCAGATAATGGACACTTTATGTTTTTGTATAGTACTTCATAGTAAAAAAAAAAAAAAAAGACTCCTAGATATACTATCTGTTTTGATTTTACAACAGCCCTGTTTATGTTCATGTGTCGCTGTTTTCATTTTTATGAGTAAAGAAATCAGGGTTCAGAGAGGTTCAGTAACTGGCCTAAATTACATGTTTAGAAGCAGAGAAAATACAATCCACATCTTCCTGTTGAGAAAAACAAACTTTGATTCTCCTCAGTTGGGCTGCCACACTGCTGTGCTCTCAGGACGCCTAGCTGAGCTGGCAGCAGAAACCAGTGTGAGGGCACGCTAGAGCTGGTGCTTGCTTCTGCTAGCAAATGGGAGCAGTGGGAGCTGAGGCAGGAGGACCTCTTGAACCTGGGAGGTGGAGGTTGCAGTGAGCCAAGACCATGCCATTGCAACCCAGCCTGGGCAACAAGAGCGAAACTCCATCCCCCCAAAAACAAATATCTATACAAAAGAGCACAGGGTGGTAGAGTTTCTCAGCATGGGGTGGGAAACATGTTAAAACATGCTTGGAGATGAGGGATGCCTTTTTTTTTGTTTCGTTTTTTTTTTTTTGTTTTTAGACAGAGTTTCACTCTGTCGCCCAGGCTGGAGTGTACTGACACAATCTTGGCTCACTGCAACCTCCACCTCCTGGGCTTTAAGCAATTCTCTCTGCTCAGCCTCCCAAGTAGCGAGGATTACAGGCATCCTCCACCATGCCTGGCTAATTTCTGTGTTTTTAGTAGAGATGGGATTTCGTCATGTTAGCCAGTCTAGTCTTGAACTCCTGACCCCAGGTGATCCACCCACCTTGGCCTGCCTCCCAAAGTGCTGGGGTTACAGGCATGAGCCACGGCTGCCTGGCCTGGGATGCTGTTTTTAAGAATAATAGAAGGCAGAGGGTTATATAACAGTGTGAATATACTCAACACTGAACTGTACACATAAAAATGGGTAAGATGGTGAATTTTGTTTATGTGTTTCTTACCACAATTTGTTTGAAGAATAGCTACTAAATGTAAAATTATACAGTAGGAATACTTGATTAATGAAAAAGAACAAAGCTTAGATGATGTAAAGAGAAAGGTGGGCGTAAAGAAAATATCAACAATTAAATGTACGTGGACTAAACACTCCATCGAAGGCATGGCATGGCATGGTAGATTAAAAGAGCCATGCTTACAGTAAAGACACACTTATTTTAAGTTTAAAAGCGTGGGGAGGCGTGTATCACCCACACACTTAACGGCAGGAAACGCTAGTGGCTATATAGGTTGAGTATTCCTTATCCAAAGTGTTTGGGACCAGAAGTGTTTCAGATTTCAGATGTTTTTAAAAAATTGGAATATTTGCATTATACTTACTGGTTGAGCTTCCCTGATCCAAAAATCCCAAATCTGAAATGGCTTTAGTGAGCATTTCCTTGGAACATAACCTTTAAGCATCTTGTAAGTGCTCAAATAGTTTTGGATTTTGGAGCATTTCAGATTTTGGATTGTCAAATTAGAGATGTTCAAGCAGTATTAGTATCAGACTAAAGACTTCAAGGGAAGAAGTTTTACTAGAAGAAAGCCGGGATATTTTACAACAAAAAAATAATCTATTAAAAGACAATACAGAATGACCCTTAAAGTGATAACACAGCTTTACATTTTATGAGGCATAAATTAGCAGAAGCAAAAAAAAATCTACAATAGGGGCGGCTCACGCCTGTAATCCCAGCACTTTGTGAGGCTGAGGTTGGCGGATCACTTGAGGCCAGGAGTTCGAGACCAGCCTGACCAACATGGTGAAACCCATCTCTACTAAAAATACAATAATTGGCCGGGTGTGGCGACACCCACCTGTAGTCCCAGCTATTCAGGAGGCTGACGCACAAGAATCACCCTTGAACCCGGGAGGCAGTGGTTACAGTGAGCCGAGATCACACCACAGCATTCCAGCCTTGGTGACAGAGGATGACCTTGTCTCATACAGCCTCAACCTCTCAGGCCCAAGCAATCCCCCTGCCTCAGTCTCCCAACGTGCTATGATTACAGGTGTCGACCACCTTGCCCAGCCTCATACTTGCAGAATGTTAACACAACCTTTTCAGTAACCCAATGAATAAGCAGAAAAAAATAATAAACATTTTTAAAAGTTGAACAGCATGATTAACCGAATCAGCCTTACAAGGAGTCCTAATTGGAAGAGTTGCTTAAAGAATATGTATTGGGTAAATGATTACAAAAACACATGAATAAATGTTTTTAACTAGTGCATGAGAAGAGAATGGGGAATGTATAATAGTATCAAGTGAGCGCTTCCTCTTGGCAGAAAGTTACAAAACAACGTTTTGGTCAATGGCGGACCCCATGTATAACAGTTGTCCCATAAGATTATAAGGCCATATTTTTATTATTTTAAATTTTTTATTTATTTTTTGAGATGGAGTTTCGCTCTTGTTGCCCAGGCTGGAGTACAATGACACGATCTTGGCTCACTGCAGTCTCCACCTCCCGGGTGCAAATGATCCTCCTACCTCAGCTTCCCAGGTAGCTGGGATTACAGGTGCCTGCCACCATGCCCTGCTGATTTTTGTGTTTTTAGTAGAGGTGGGGTTTCCCCATGTTGCCAGGCTGGTCTCAAACTCCTGACCTCAGGTGATCTGCCCACCTTGGCCTTCCAAAGTGCTGGGACTATAGCTGTGAGCCATCATGCCTGGCCAAGACCATATTTTTTTTTTTTTTTTGAGACAGCGTTTCACTCTTGTTACCCAGGCTGGAGTGCAATGGCGCGATCTCAGCTCACCGCAACCTTTGCCTCCTGGGTTCAGGCAATTCTCCTGCCTCAGCCTCCTGAGTAGGTGGGATTACAGGTGTGCACCACTGTGCCCAGCTAATTTTTTGTATTTTTAGTAGAGATGGGGTTTCACCATGTTGACCAGGATGGTTTCGATCTCTTGACCTTGTGATCCACCCGCCTCAGCCTCCCAAAGTGCTGGGATTACAGGCGTGAGCCACTGCACCTGGCCAAGACCATATTTTTATTGTACCTTTTCTGTTTTTTATATTTAGTTGCACAAATACTTACCATTGTGTTGCACTGCCTACAGCATTCAGTATAGTAACATGCTGTACAGGTTTGCTGCCTAGGAGCAGAGGCTATACCCTGTAGCCTCGGTGTGTAGTTAGGCTATACCATCTGGGTTTGTGTAAGTACACTCTTGTTTGCACAATGACAAAATGGCCTAAAAATGGATTTTTCAGAACATGCCCTTGTCAAGTGAGGCACAACTGTAGTTAACTAAATCATAATGAAGGGGGTTCAGAAAAGGAACAGACATTATCTGGTTGAGGTGGTCAAGAAAAGCTTTATAACTGAACATTTTATTACTACCATCCCCACTCCTACTGCTTACTATCAAGCACCTATTGAGTGTGAAACTTTGGACTAAATTAAAGTAGCCTTTACTACAGCCCTACAAAATTAGGATCTCCCATTTTAGGGATGAGGAGTCACTTGTAACCTGTCCCAGGTCTCATGCATATGATTGTGGGTTTAGGTTCTAGTTTCCCTGACTCTTAAGGCTCTTGTCTGTACCCTTTACCATTCAGCTCATACTCCTGTTGATTAAAACGTGGAGAGGTGAGCCCTAAAGGATAAACTGTATCCTTGACAAGCAGAGATAGTACAGGAGGCCACCCTTGGCAGAAAGAGTGGGAGTAATATGAACAAAAGTTAGATCAGACAATGGGGGGCATGTTTAGGACAAAAGTAGTTCGTTTTGACTGGATAAAACAGTAATGGGAAACAGGTATTTTGGGACTGTGTTGTATATATCCTTGAATTGAGACTAAATGTGGAAAATGATAGATATAAAAAAATGTTCATACCATTTTGGGGATGTTTTTAATGTTTAATTAAATTGAACCAAAAATCAGGAACCTAAATTCATTTCTCCTTTATAAGAATAGTTCTTTGTCATTACTCTAATTTAGAATGTGGAGAAACTTTTGAAATACCTTTCTTGAGTTTGAGTCTTCTTCATTGAGTGGCATTTACTTGAAAAATAAAGTTCTGGCTGGGTGCAGTGGCTCATGCATGTAATCCCAGGCAAAGACAGATGGATTACTTGAGCCCAAGAGTTGGAGACCTATCTGGGCAAGATAGTGAGACCCCGTCACTACAAAAAAATTGAAAAAGTATTAGCCAGGTGTGGTGGCACGCACCTGTAATCCCAGCTACTCTGGGATCAAATTTGAGGCTGCAGTGAAGTATAATCATGCCACTGCACTCCAGTCTAGGTGACAAAGTGAGAACCCATGTCTGAGAAATAATGAGATAAATAAATAAAGTTCCTTTTAAGAGATACAGTTGATAATTTTTAGAGGGATATATGAATGACCAAGTTAAAATGTTTGATTCTCTCATTTTTCTGTTCAGCATAATTTTATAAGACTAAAATTCATTAATGACAGTCTAGTTCTTCTGATGGAAATTCTTTTTAAAAAAAATTTTGGAGGATCATGAAAAAGGTATGTCTTTGAAGATCTTTCTGATTTTTGCTTAAAAAATTATTTGTATTTTTTAGAGCAAAAACCCGAGCAACCTTAAATGCTTTTGTTAATTTTGCACAGAAACTTGTGCATCCTTGGTGTGGAATGGGCAGTAGGTTTTCATTTTAAAGTTTTCATAATTTCTTAATCAAAACCCAAAAACTGTAGAAAGCTGTATACAAAGATGTATTGTTCAATATCCTCCTCTATCTTGAATTCCCTATTTGCTGTAGGAACTGTTAGTTTCTTTTTACTCTTTCATTTTTCTGTTTTGCAAATATTTCTATCCATTTTTATTCCTTTTCCCCACCACACAGAATTTTTCTTACACAAAATACTGTGCACAATCTTCTGTACTTTGTCTTTTTCTTTTTCTTTCTATTTTTTTTTTTGTGAGATGAATTTTCGATCTTGTTACCCAGGCTGGAGTGCAGTCATCTCGGCTCACTGTAACCTCTGCCTCCCGGGTTCAAGAGATTCTCCTGCCTCAGTCTCCTTAGTAGGAGATTATAGGCGCCTGCCACCATGCCCAGCTAATTTTTGTATATTTAGTAGAGACGAGGTTTTACCATGTTGACAAGGCTGGTCTTGAATTCCTGACCTCAGATAATCCACCCACCCCAGCCTCCCAAAGTGCTGGGATTACAGGCAGGCATCAGCCACCATGCCTGGCCCCTGTCTTTTTCATTGGTATACTCTGTAGCTTTCTCCAAATCTATTTCACATAGATCCTTCTCATTCTTTTTTAAGGCTGCATATAATTCCATTATGTGGATGTACAAAACACTGGAGTTATTTCCAGTCTTTTGCTATTATAAGCAGTGTCACAGTGAATACCCTTGTACATATGACCTTGCATGCTAGTCAGGTGTGGCTGCCTCAAAAGACAAATGCATTTGTAATTTTGTTAGATGCTGCCAGATTTTCCTTAGGAGAATTGCACTTCCATCAGAAGTATATGGGAATGTTTATTTTCCCTTAGCTTTATTAACGGTGTCAAATTTTATGAGTTTTACCAATCTTGATAAGTCGTAGTGTCCTAGTGTTGGGTTTTTGTGGGTTTTTTTTTTTGGTTTTTTGAGACAGGGTCTTGCTGGGTTGCCCAGGCTGGAGGCAATCAAAGCTCACTGCAACCTTGAATTCCTGGCCTCAAGAGATCCTCCTGTCTCAGCCTCCTGAGTAGATAGGACTACAGGTTCACACTCTTACACCTAACTAATTGCTTTGTTTTATTTTGGTAGAGACAAGGTCTCACTATGTTGACCCAGGCTGGTTTTCAACTCCTGGCCTCAAGCAGTCCTCCCACCTCAGCCTCCCAAAGGGCTAGGATTACAGGCATGAACCACCATGCCTGACCATCCTAGTGTAGTATTAATTTGCATTTCTCTTTATAAATGAAGTTAGGTATTTTTTTTTCATTTGTTTATGGGTCATTTATACTTCTGTGAATTCCGTAATCTTTGCCCATTTTGAAATTGGGTTGTCATTTCCCTGTTGACATTGGACCTCTTTGTATATTAGGAATAGCCTATGATATAATTTATACATATATTTTTCTAAGTTTATCTTTTTACTTACGGGTTTTTTACTAGAGTTTTAATGTTTTGCCGGGACGCAGCGGCTCACGCCTGTAATCCCAGCACTTTGGGAGGCTGAGACGGGCAGATCACTTGAGGTCAGGAGTTCAAGACCAGTTTGGCCAACATGGCCAAACCTCATCTCTGCTAAAATACAAAAATTAGCTGGGCATAGTGGCAGGCGCCTGTAGTCCCAGCTACTGAGGAGGCTGAGGCGTGAGAATCGCTTGGACCCTGGAGGCAGAGGTTGCAGTTAGCCGAAATTGAGCCACTGCACTCCAGCCTGGGCAAAAGAGTGAGACCCTGTCTCAAAAGAAAAAAAGAATTTTTAAAGTTTTTATGTAGTTCAATTCATTGATTTTTCTGGATGTTGATTTGTAGTTAAAAAGGCCTTCTTAGAACAGGGAGTTCTTAACCTGTGATTTTCAGAGCTTCAGATATTATGCAGATTTGGGTACCCCTTCTCTGAAATGCCTGGGACTACAAGTGTCTTAGATTTCAGATTTATTTGGAGTTTGGAATACTCGTGTTATCCTTATAGGTGGACCATCCCAAATCTGAAAATGCGCATTTCCTTTGAGTGTCATGTTGGTGCTCAAAATGCTTCTGAATTTTGGATTTTCAGCATTAGGATGCTCAACTCTTATGCAGTGTTTTGTGACTGTGTGCTTACATAATTTTTATAAAATGAGGTGGGTTTTTTGTTGATGTTTTATTTTTGTGAGATAGGATCTCATTCTGTTACCCAGGCTGGAGTGCAGTAGCATGATCATAACTCACAGTAGCCTCAACTCCCCAGGCTCAGAGGATCCACCCATCTCAGCCTCCTCAGTAGCTGGGACTATCGGCATGTACCACCACACCCAGCTAATTTTTGTATTTTTTTGTAGAGGCAGGGTTTCGCCATCTTGCCCAGGCTGGTCTCAAACTCCTGGGCTCAAGCAATCCTCCCACCTTTACCTCCCAAAGTGTGGGGATTACAGGCATGAGCCACTGTACCCAGCCTAGAAGGGTACCCAGCCTGAAGGAACCCTGTGATACAAAAAAGGTAAGACTCCAGATAGAATAAGAAAATGTATATTTTCTGATGTGTCATACAAACTCTGAAAATAATTTGATTATTTTTTGTTCCAGACCCTCCTGCATGAAATGATACATGCCTATTTATTTGTCACTAATAATGATAAAGACCGAGAAGGGCATGGTCCAGAGTTTTGTAAACATATGCATCGAATCAACAGAATGACTGGAGCCAATATAACGGTATATAAGGCCATATATATTTATGATATTTAGTAGTTGTTTATTCAGTAACTCCTGAGATTTAATTAAAAGTAGAGAACAAGGTACAAAGAAATATCTTTGAGGATTTTCCACAGCAAACAAGAGACTTAGAGAAGCATATTGGCTTGTCTGGGGCCACATGGTAGAATGGCAGCAGAGCCAGTGATGTCCCAAGGCCTCTGACCTTTCTAAGTCAATGGTTAATTCAGGCCTGCAGTACCTCTCTTCTGGACTCATATGACCTCTTAACTTGGTTTCCTTATTATTGTCGTCTTTAGTTCATCCTGTATCCTGCTACCATTGCAGGTGTCATTCCCTCTCAGAATTCTTCGAGTCATATCTCTGCATGGTATTGTAGGAGGTGGCAAAGCCTGAAGTCCAAAAAGCCGGAAGCATTAGGCTACTTGGATTCAAATCCTGGCTCCACCAGTTATTAACTTTAACTTTTCTATGCCTCATTTTACTCCCATGGCAAATGAGAGTAATAACAGTACCTATCTATTGGATCCTTGTGAGGAGAAAGGATTAAAGGCAAAAGCACTTCAAAACATTTTAGCCCAGTTTGAGCACTAATTAAACATTAGTTGTTTAATCATTACTGTATTTGTTTTATTAAATAACCTGTTCCTTTTTTACTACCTCCACTCTTGCCTGTGTCCTAAAGCGTGCCACTGCTCTGCTCTATGTCTGAATGCTCTTCATCGTCCCAGTGGCATCTCATTTCTCCATCTTTTGAATCGTCAGCAGATATTTAAGCTTTTACAATTTTTAATGCTACCTTCATACTTTTGAGCACATAGTAGCTCCTGCCCGTCTTTATAATACATGTATAAGGTGTATAATGTACTGTTCTTACATGGGCTTAACAAATATGAATTGAATATTAATAGAATAGATTACATTCTTTCTTATGTTTGGGTATTTCCTTCCTTTAAAAGGCCACAGAATCCAGTGTGATAGAAAATGAACAGTGCTTAACCGCCATGTTTTGTTTTTGTTTTTGTTTTTTTTGAGATAGGGTCTTGTTCTTTTGCCTAGAGTGGATGCAGTGGTATAATCATAGCCCACTGCAGATTCAACCTCTTGGGCTCAAGTGATCCTCCTGCCTCAGCCTCCTGAGTAGTGGGGGCTACAGGTGCGTGCCACTGTGCCAGGCTATTTCAAAAAAATTTTTTTTCTTTAGAGATAGGGTCTCACCATGTTGCCCAGGCTGGTCTTGAACTCATGGGCTCAAGTGATCCTCCTATCTCAGCCTCCCAAAATGGTGGGATTACAGGCATGAGCCACCATGCCTGGTCTCTCCATACATTATTATTTTCTAACTATTAGTTTTAATTTTCTAAAGACCTCATTTAATTATTAGTACAGTTACTTCAACATTAGGAAAGTGGCTTGCAGTCTTAAAAAAATCAGACATAAGGGCCGGGCACGGTTGCTCATGCCTGTAATCCCAGCACTTTGGAAGGCTGAGGCAGGTGGATCACAAGGTCAGTAGTTCAAGACCAGCCTGGCCAAGATGATGAAACCCCGTCTCTACTAAAAATACAAAAAAAATTAGCTGGGTGTGGTGGCAGGTGTCTGTAATCCCAGCTACTCGGGAGGCTGAGGCAAAGAATTGCTTGAACCTGGGAGGTGGAGGTTGCATTGAGCATGCCACTGCACTTCAGCCTGGGCAACAGAGCGAGATTGAGTCTCAAAATCAGATATAAAATCAAGGTTAGCAAGATAATTATAGAGTTGCTTGTATAAAATACTTTGTTTCTTAACCAGAACTTATCCTTTAAGCAAAGCCCTTGTATACATCCCATTGTTCAGCTGGAAGAGGATTTGTTCTTTTATCTTTGATATCTGTGTGTTTTTATTTAGGAGAGGTTTTATGGAGTGAACACCCCTTGCTTTTACAGGTTTCATTCTGTCATAAGGAACTTCACAGAGTATCTACCTTGTAGAATAATTTTATTTTAGTGATTACATTGTTAAAAGTCACATTCCCAGGCTGTAGGAGTTATAGGAATTTCAAGCAAAACAGATCTAGGCTGGGTGTGGTGGCTCACTCTTGTAATCCCAGCACTTTGGGAGGCCAAAATGGGAGGATCACTTGAGCCCAGGAGTTTGAGATCAGCCTGGGCACTATAGTGAGATCTTGTTTCCACAAAATTTTAAAAATTAGCCAAGCGTGGTAGCTCACACTTGCAGTCACAGCTACTCAGGAGGCTGAGGTGGGAGGATCACATGAGCCTGGGAGGTGGAGGTTGCAGTGAGCCAAGATCATGCCACCTCACTCCAGCCTGGGCAAATAGAGTGAGTCCATGTCACAAAACAAACAAAACATCCATTTCCGGCCGGGCGCGGTGGCTCAAGCCTGTAATCCCAGCACTTTGGGAGGCCAAGGCAGGTGGATCATGAGGTCAAGAGATCGAGACCATCCTGGTCAACATGGTGAAACCACATCTCTACTAAAAATACAAAAAATCAGCTGGGCATGGTGGCACGTGCCTGTAATCCCAGCTACTCAGGAGGCTGAGGCAGGAGAATTGCCTGAACCCAGGAGGCGGAGGTTGCGGTGAGCCGAGATGGCGCCATTGCACTCCAGCCTGGGTAACGAGCTTGAAACTCCATCTCAAAAATAAAAAAATAAAATAAATAAATAAATAAAACATCCATTTCCCTGTCTTTTTTGGTAACAAATTAAAGTCAAGAGTTCTGAATGTAATATAGTGTGGGGTTTCCGATCCTTCTTTGCCTTAAAACCTATGTCCTTCAATCCTTTCTGCATCCAATATAATGTGTATCATTTGCATGCTTACCAAGTAGTAGAAATTTTTTGCTTAGGATGGAGAGAAAGTGAATTTAACACTATCTATAGAATTATGGAAAAGCTGAGCATTCTTAAGCACAAGGGGAATTTATTAGAAAGCTAAATGTCTTTGGCAAAAAACCAGAATCTCATATACAGATGCTTCTTACTCTTACAGAAATAGTAATGTTCCAATGAGAAGGCAGAAGAATAAGGTGGCTATAGTCATTTAGGAGTCGCTTTCAAATAGTGTTCTGTAGTCCTCAGTGTCACTGTGCTGAGAGGGCTGACCATCTTTTCAGTCAGATCTTTTCTTTTACCTATTGTCTGCTTAGGTTCTAAGTAGGATTTTTGTCTAGAGAGTGGGGAAAAAAAAAGGCATTCTACTTAAGACCCGAAAAGCACACTGAGAAATTTATTTGACTCAATGAATGATGCTTTTCTGGCTGAGCACCTTACTGGTGCCAAATGCACTATATTATCACTAGGGACACAGAAAATTTAAACATTCAGATCCTGGAGAACTTTTCAGTCTGCCAAGAGAAGTATTATAAACAGACAAAATGGTACCACATAAGGCTTATTACGGAGACATAAGCAAAGAACTTCGAGAATGTAGAGAGCGACCTTAGCAGAAGCTTCGTTGGGTAAGATACTAGTGTTGTTAGGCTCAGGCATTTATAGGGAATAGTTTAGTCCATTCGAACCCTTTGCTATTGTTTCTTACAGGGAAAATTTCAATTTAGCAGTGGGAATGATTCTTATTTTAGTATGATATTACATAAACTATCCTAATTTTTTGATAAAAATTTGATTTCAAAAACTTTTAGTATTCATGGAGATTTTCTGTGGTTTTGTTTTTAAAAGATTTCTTGTCTTCTAACCCCACATGCATCTGTGTTTACACAATTTGTGAAGTATTAACTGCTGCTGTTTCCCATTAAAATCGACTTTTGAACAGAAACTAAATATAGTTGCTTTCTTTCCCAAAATAGAACCTTTCAGAAAACTCTGGGAAACAAAGTTTAAAAATTAAAAAAAAAAGACTGTTTATGTACATTGTTGTCTTGCAGTTGCTAACTTGCTTATTGAATACTGAAAATTCTCTCCACTCAGGTATACCATACTTTTCACGATGAGGTGGATGAGTATCGGCGACACTGGTGGCGCTGCAATGGGCCGTGCCAGCACCGGCCGCCATATTACGGCTATGTTAAGCGAGCCACTAACAGGGAACCCTCTGCTCATGACTATTGGTGGGCTGAGCACCAGAAAACCTGTGGAGGCACTTTCATAAAAATCAAGGAGCCAGAGAATTACTCAAAAAAAGGCAAAGGAAAGACAAAACTAGCAAAGCACCCAGTATCAGCTGCAGAGAATAAAGGTACCTTCGTGTGTGTTCTTCCACCGTTTCTGTGACTATATCCAAACTGTAAAGACAATACTGTCCTTCAGAGAACTGGTATTAAGATAAGCTTAAGGACTGTTTCTGGTGTAGAAGTCTTCAGCTGTAGACTCAAGGAAAAAACCCCATGGTCCATGAAATGATGGTAGGAAAATATACTTTGCTCTATACAGAAGTAAGTAAAAGTAGGAATAGTTTCCACTGATATTTTTATTAACTTTTTTAGTTTCTTTTTATTCAGAGAAACAAAACTCAATTCCTGATCATATTTGAGGTAAAGTTCCTTTCCCTATCTTGACTCACTGAGTTATTAGGAAACAGAAGGCAAAAAGATTGTCAAAATAAAAACAGTAATTTTCAAGTAACAGTGCCCGGAATATGCACCCTAACTACACCCCTTCCAATCAGTTGGATTCTATCCAAGTGACTGCTATTGATGTATGTATGTTCGTTAGAAGAATTGCAAAGTATTTGCCAGTACTTCATCTTCAAGATTTACCCTTTTCCTATGAAGTTCAGTTACTGAAGATGCTTCTTCCCTTGGGAAGTTGTTGATTTCATGCGGTAGAACCCAAGAACATAGGCTGTATTTCCCAAATCTTTAATTAAGTGAAGGAGCTGTAGATGAATTAATGTGGAAAGACTTTATCTTCATTTTTGTGAGTAGAGGAAAGATAAGAATGAGGCAGCAGATTTTTCCCTCCTGGAATTACGCATAAAGGACGCTAAGCAATTCTCATGGTAAATGTTGCTTTGTTATTGGTCTTTGGCATGGTAAGATTCTATATATAAATATTCGAGAATTCATTTTATTCTTTATATTCTCTTCAGCATCAGAACTCTTAATTCTGAAGATTGCTCTTCTCGCATTAATAGGATTGCCTAGGTATAAGATAGTTAAAATATTTCTTCATTTTGAGAAAACTGTACGTTAATGTTTGTTACTGTATATCTATTGAGATGAGGCACTTACATAAAAATCTTACTTGCTTTTTTTGCAGATAAACCCAACAGAGGTGAGGCCCAGCTAGTCATCCCTTTTAATGGTAAAGGATATGTTCTAGGAGAAACAAGCAATTTACCTTCACCTGGGAAATTGATCACTTCACATGACATTAATAAAACCCAAAATCTTTTAAATCACAACCATTCAGCAAATGCTGTAAGATCTAATTCTGAAATCAAGGTGAATTTTGAACAGAATGTTTCAAGTAAAAATTCTCATCTAGTCTCCCCTGCTCCTAACAGTCACCAAAATGTTCTAAGCAACTACTTTCCTAGATTATCAGTTGCCAGTCAAAAGGCTTTCAGAGGTGTGAATGGATCTCCACCAAAAAGGGTAACAGTTGGCAACATCCCTAAAAACTCAGTCTCTTCTGGTTCTCAAAGAAGGGTTTCATCTTCTAAGACATCCCTAAGAAATTCTTCAAAAGCAGTGGAATCAACATCTGTGACTCTATCCCAGGATGTGAATGGGTCTGAAGGTACATTCCCAAATAAACGACCTAGGCTAGAGGATAAGACTGTTTTTGACAATTTTTTTATCAAGAAAGAGCGAATAGAAAGCAGGGGTAATGATCCAAATTATAGTTCATGTCCTACAGCCACTCAGAATTCCAGCAGTTCGTCTAGTCAGGGCAAAAGAGTTAATTGCCCAGTTTGTCAGAATGAAGTTTTGGAGTCTCAGATTAATGAACACTTGGACCGGTGCCTTGAAGGTGATTGCGTCAAGGTCAAAAGCTGAAGAAAGTCTTTGAAAAAGGTTGGAAAGTCTTAAGTACCACCTGTATTACCTCACTAATGTGCTGTGTCAGCCAGTCAGGAAGTCCTGGTTAATACTAAGATGTCTAGGCTATAATCTAGTTCACATAACCAATACAGAATGTTCTATGTTATATATACATAGGTAAGATTGTAATTTTAAGATGTTTTGTATCTCAAGGTGCTACATTCACTCTTGCCTTACGTATACTGTAACCCAGGTGGTTCTGCCTGTCATGTATAATTTTTAGATACTTTTGTTCTTTCTTGTTCTTAGGATTTTAAAATCTATTTATCTTTTTATTGTATACTCCTAAAAATATCCATATGAGGAATTCTGTCAGGTATTTGGTTATGTTGACTATTTCTTTATTAATAGTATTACAACTCATTTCCTGAACTCATGTAAATCTTCATAGTGTCAAGACATACTGACCAAAACCACAGTCTAGAGTACAAAGTATATTGTTTTAGAGTATTCAAATTGTATTATTTATTTTTAATGTTTTTTACAAAATCTTAACAGGAACTATATTTTCTATATTTTAAAGAGTTTTATTTGTCCCACTTTTACTAAATGGTGGCAGCAGATTTTAAGTTAAAGAATATGGAATATAGTAAAATAAATTTCTTTTGAAATATTTTTAGTAATAGCCACTGTAAAATCTGTAGGCCAGATTATTGGGTTTGGCTGTTTTCTCAAAATTCAGCAGAGTGGTTAAAATTCAGTGCTGATAAGTAACTGATACGTATAGCATAAACATAACAAAGTTGCCTAGTTTATGTAACAGTGGAAAATTATCTGGAAATAGTATTTTGAACTTTAAGCCAAGTTTCAACCATTATAATAAAAGGAAAACCATTTGTGCATTTAAATTAATTTTTTTTTTAAAAAAAAAAACAAACTTCTTTTTCATGTTCATAGGGAAGGACAAAGATACCTTTATCAGTTTACTTTTTGTCTTGTGGTTGTAACATGCTGTTGGCATAGTCGTAACACCTTAGTTGTTCACAAATTTTCTTTTTTCTTCTTGCAATTTTTCTTCACATCATTGTAATACACGTGCACGAATCTTAAGTGCTCAGCTGGTTAAACTTTTACAATGTCCACCTGTGTAACTACTACCCAGATCAAGTTAGAGAACGCTTCCATTGCCACAGAAGGCTTCCTATAGGTGCCTGCTCCCTGTTGATACCCACGACCCTCACCACCTCCAGAGGTGTACCCACTGTTTTTACCCCATCATCACAGATTATTTTTGAACTTCATGATGGAGGATATTTGTTGCTATGTGTAGCAGGAGGTCATTTTCATTGCTCTTACATTTGTATGAATATACTTGAATTTATTCATCCATTCTAATGTTAATGGCCATTTGAATTATTTCCAGTTTGGGGCCGGTAAGCATAATGCTGCTAAGAACGTTCTTGTCTTTTCTGTTGGGTACACACAGGAAATGGAACTGCTGAGTCACTGGGTATTATTTCTGTTTAGCTTTAGTGAATCCTGCCAGTTGTTTACACTTCTACCAGCAATGTATGAGAGTTTCGGTTCACCATTCTTAACCCTGTTACCAGCCCTTTTCATTTTAGACAGGTTGGATGTTCACAAGTTTTGATATTTCTTAAAACATTAAGTTAAAATTTGAATAAATAGAAATAGCTATTAAAATGTGTATTATGTTCAATATATACAGTTCTATTTTCACAGAGGATCATTTTCTTTAAATGAATCTAACAAATTATGTGTAATTAAATGCTTCCTGAGCCAAAACCACACAAGGTTCTGGGCTGCGAAGTAGCTAAGATGGTCCATGCCCTCCAGGAGCTTTACAGCCAATTGGGGAGTAAGACAGATGTACATTAATCTCCGTAGAGTTTGCTAAGTGCTACACAAGGGTTTTTGCTGGTTGCTGTGAAAAAATGGTAGGAAGGACAATTAGCTCAGTCCAGAACTTCAGGGGATGTTTCTTGGAGGAGACAGCATCCAAAGTTGAATCATGTAGAGTGAGTCGAGTTAGCCTGGTTAATGAAGGGTGGGAAGATTCTTGCAAAGGGAAAAAGTAACACAAGGGCATGGAAATAGACCAGTATGTTCCAAGGGAAGTGTATGCTATTCCAAGTGAATAAAGTGTGGAGAGCAAAATGGCCGAAGCAGGGATGGCAGATAGGACAGATTTAGCTAAGTAGTACCAGTTTGACGTCAGGGACCTTACGTTCCTCACTTTATGTCTGTTTGTGTGATACCTGCTGATAAGCATCTCTTAATTTAGGTGGGGCTTGGAAAGGCTTATAAGCTGGTCAAAACAGGTTGAGAAGTGTTTCCGATGCATTTATTCTGGGGACAGCATAGATGGGGGACGTGTAGTGGCAGGAATGGAGAGAAAAGAAAAGATTTTGAGAAACATCAGGAGTTGGTGTCAAGTTCTAGGGAATGATGGAAATAGTTGAGAAAATGGAACTCAATTTGAAATTAAGCCTTTACTACATCTGTTAAACACTTGAGAAAATTTGCACCCTAAGAATTCTGATATTTCCCCAAATCTGTCATTCATAATAGAGATAGTTTTGTTTCTATTTAGATTTTTCCTTTTAAAGCAAACTTCCCACCTTAAAAGCAGAGCTGGTAATTCTGGCTCAACCCTTAAATGCTCTCCCCTTATTGTGGGGACATGGGGGTCTAGATTTTAATTCTATAAAACAGTGGGTTTTGGGGGGTTTTGCCTTTTTTTTAAGACAGTCTCGCTCTGTTGCCCAGGCTGGATGGAGTGCAGTGACACAATCTCAGCTGACTGTGACCTCTGCCTCCTGCCTCAGCCTCCCAATAGCTGGGATTACAGGTGAGTGCCACCACGCCTGGCTAACTTTTGTATTTTTAGAAGAGATGAGGTTTCACCTTGTTGGCCAGGCTGGTCTTGAACTCCTGACCCCAAGTGATCTGCCCCCTTGGCCTCCCAAAGTGCTGGGAGTACAGGCATGAGCCACTGTGCCTGGCCAATACAGTGTTTTTTAAAGTTAGAGTTGTATGTTACCTAGCCAAAGTAATTTTTACTTTAGAAAATTGTGCTGAATGCAGTGGCTTGCACCTGTAATCCCAATACTTTGGGAGGCCGAGGTGGGTGCATCACCTGAGGGCAGGAGTTTGAGACTAACATGGCCAACATGGTGAAGCCCCATCTCTATTAAAAACACAAAAATTAGAGAGAGGGATCCAAGATGGCCAAATAGGAACAGCTCTGGAGTGCAGTTCCCAGCGAGAACAATGCAGAGGTTGAGTGAACATCGCATTTCCAAATGAGTTATTACTGTCCACACATAGGGAGATTCCTGGGCTGAAGAGTACCACGAGTTTTCAGCACGGCTGTTTCAGCCAGCATAGTGGGTCTCTGCACAAAAACACAAATCTGGGCGGCCATTTCAACTGGTGCCTGGAACGCCTGGGAAATAGCCGCCCATTCAACTGAAAAAAAGTGGGCTGAAACAGGGAGCCAGGTGAACTGGCTCAGCGGGTTCCACCCCCACAAAGACCAGCATCTGAAACCTCTGGATTGAGTTTCACAGCAAGCGCATCTGGACCCCAGACAGTCCAGCTCTGTTGGGGGAAGGGCATCCACCATTACCGAGGCAGTCTGCCACTACTAAGGCAGTCTGCCATTACTGAGGCAGTTCTAACTATACCTCTATAAACAAAACTGCAAGGAAGTTCACACAGCAGCTGGGCAGAGCCCATGGAAGCTCAGCAATGCCTCTGCTGGCAGACTGACTAGCTACCTCCTTGCTGGGCAGGGCAGCTCTGAAAAAAAGGCAGCAGCACATCAGGAACTTATAAATAAAGCCCCACCTTCCCAGGACAGAGCACCTGGGAAAAGAGTCTATGAGTTCTGCTGCAGCAAACTTAAACATACATGCCCAGCAGCTCTGAACAGAACAATGAAGCTCACAGCTCAGTACTTGGGCTCCTATAAGGGACAGACTGTCTCCTCAAGCAGCTCCCTGACCCCCATATATCCAAAGAGTCACCTCATAAAGGAGGGCTCAGGCTGAGATCTGGTGGGTATCCTTCCGGAACAAAGATAACAGAAGAAGAAATTGGCAGCAACCCTTACTGTTCTGCAGCTGCCACAGGTGATCCCCAGGCAAGCAGGGCCTGGAGTGGACCTCCAGTAGTCCTACAGCAGAGGGACCTGTTAGAAAGAAAACTAAAAAACAAATAACTTCAACATCAACAAAAAGGATGTCCAGTCAGAGACCCCATCTGAAAATTACCAACTACAAAGACCACAGGTAGCTAAATCCACAAAGATGGGAAGAAACCAGTGCAGAAAGGATGAAAACACCCCAAACCAGAATGCCTCCCCTCCTCCAAGGGATCACAACTCCTCACCAGCAAAAGAACAAAACTGGATGGAGAATGAGTCTGATAAACTGACAGGCGTCAGAAGATGGGTAGTAAACGTCTCTGAGCTAAAAGAACGTGTTCTAACCCAACAAAGAAACTAAGAACCTTGAAAAAAGGTTTGATGAAATGCTAAGGAGAATAAACAGCTTAGAGAAGAATATAAATGACTTGATGGAGCTGGAAAACAACATGAGAACTTCATAGAGCATACACAAGTTTCAACCGCTGAATTGACCAAGCAGAGGAAAGGATATCAGAGATTGAAGATCAACTCAATGAAATAAAACGAGGAGGCAAGATTAGAGAAAAAAAGAGTGAAAGAAAATTAACAAAGCCTCCAAGAAATATGGGATTATGTGAAGAGGCCTAATCTATGATTGATAGGGGTATGTGAATGTGACAGAGAATGAATCCAAGCTGGAAAACACTCTCCAGGATATTATCCAGGAGAACTTCCCCAACCTAGCAGGGCAGGCTGGTATTCAAGTCCAGGAAATACAGAGAATACCACAAAGATATTCCTCAAGAAGAGCAACCCCAAGGCACATAATCAGGGTTGAAATGAAGGAAAAAATGCTAAGGGCAGCCAGAGAGAAAGGTCGGGTTGCCCACAAAGGGAAGCCCATCAGACTCATAGCGGATCTCTCAGCAGAAACCCTACAAGCCAGAAGAGAGTGGGGGCCAATATTCAACATCCTTAAAGAAAAGAACTTTCCACCTAGAATTTCATATCCAGCCAAACTAAGCTTCATAAGCAAAGGAGAAAGAAAATCCTTTATAGACAAGCAATTGTTGAGAGATTTCATCACCACCATGCCTGCTTTACAAGAGCTCCTGAAAGAGGCACTACACATAGAAAGGAACAACCAGTACCAGCCACTCCAAAAACATACCAAATGGTAAAGAACATCGACACAATGAAGAAACTGCATCAACTAATGGGCAGAACAACCAGCTATCATCAAAATGGCAGGATCAAATTCAACATAACATAACCTTAAATGTAAATGGGCTAAATGCCCCAATCAAAAGACACAGACTGGCAAATTGGATAAAGAGTCAAAACCCATTGGTGTGCTGTATCCAGGAAGCCCCTCTCACGTTCAAGGATGCACACAGGCTCAAAATAAAGGGATGGAGGAAGCTTTACCAAGCAAATGGAGAGCAAAAAAAACCAGGAGTTGCAATCCTAGTCTCTGATAACCAACAAAGATCAAAAGAGACAAAGAAGGACATTACATAATGGTAAAAGGATAAATGCAACAAGAACAGCTAACGATCCTAAATATATACACAACCAGTACAGGAGCACCCAGATACATAAAGCAAGTTCTTAATGACCTACAAAAGACTTAGACTCCCACACAATAATAGTGGGAAACTTTAACACTCCACTGTCAACGTTAGATCAAAGAGACAGAAAATTAACAAGGATATCCAGGACCTGAACTCAGATCTGGACCAAGCAACC